AAAAGTTGTATCCTTCAACGTGGTGTGGTACTTGAGGCAAGGAAATTTTCATGTGTTTACACTATAGCTCTTTGGAAGGAGGAGGAGTTTGCTTCTGGATAAGGAGTTTAGAAATCTCTATTTATCAAGCTTTTTGGTCTAACTGTGAATGAGATAGCTTTGTTGTTAGAGATTGCTTCGTTCAAATATTTTCACTCATTCATTCATTTCTTCTCCAAACTTCCAAGGATGCTATTTATAGCTGGATTGGATAATCTATCCGTTGAATCATAATAGACTATCCGTTGCATTTGCTGGCTTCAATTTTGAATGAAGATTGTGACTTGAAGATTCTTTGTTGAAGTGGGTGTTTGGACGTACCCAATTGTTGAGAAAGGATTCCTTTTTCCACAGAATCCGTCTTCTAGCTGTTGTTCAAGAATTCAAGACTGTAGCACTTTACTCTGTTTGACCTCTAGTGCTTGTTTAGGAATTCTGGGCAGGCTCTTTAATTTTAGAGGTCCAGACTTTGTCTTCGAGTAATTTGTTCTTGAATCAGCATAATTATCTTCAATCTAGCCGTTGAAAATCAAGAGATTGATTTTTCCTTACCAACGGGTAGAATTTCTTCATTCAGGACTTAGATAATTTTCTAAGTCTTTTCTCACTTGTCCGCTTTCTGAGAATTCCGGTCTTCAGTGAGTCTTCCGATTCTTAGCTGACAAATCCGGAGGAGTCATTTTCAGACTTCCGGGTGAGAAAGAGATCCGCGCTAGTCTTCCGATTTGGATGACTTAGCCTTCAGCGGGTTGTAGGGAGACATCCGGTTCTTATGAAGTCTTCCGGATCTGAGGATTTTCATCTGATTGAGAAATCCTTACTTGTCTCTGACATTTCCGATCAAGATATCCAATTTTCATATCACTGAATTTGATTAAGTCTTCAGGCATCAAAACGCTTAAAGAAATATCACAGTTTTATTGGAAATCTCAAGAGCTCGGTTTTTACAATATTTCTAAAAAGAAAAAATTACATTGAATATTGGGGGAGACCTAAAGTCCCTAATACATTCTAAATACATCATCATGTTGGTGAATGTTGACCTGGAAGAATAGCTCTGGAAGAATGTTGGTGAGGAGCACTTGGCTTCTAACTTCTGAAAGTGGACATTTACGCCGACAACCTTCATTTTCTCAGAAATTTGGGTGAAAATTTGAGAGAGAAAGACCTAGGGTTCTTGCAAGTTCTTGAGAGTTTTTCACGAAGAAGACGATGAAAGAAAATTTGAGTGGGCGGTTGAGATCTGAATAGTGGCGATTGGGTTTTAATTTAGCCGATTTTGCGGTTAGTGGCGATTGGGTTTTTGACTATTCCCAAGGCCACGTGTCTACACAATATATTGACAGTCGTGGAAAGTAGTTCGCCACGTGTACCGCACTCAATCTAATTGAATTAGACCAATTTTGTGAAGCAAATCGGAAAACTTGGCTTCACTTAGTGGTTTTGTGAAGATATCCGCCAGTTGTTCTTCAGTTGAGATATACTCAATTTTGATATCTTTCTTTTCCACATGATCTCTGATGAAGTGATGCTTGACATCAATGTGCTTAGTGCGAGAATGATGCACTAGGTTTTGAGAGATGGCTATAGCACTTTGATTGTCACAAAAGATTGTCACTTCCTTTGTCTTGACTCCATAGTCCAGTAGTTGTTGCTTTAGCCACAAAATTTGAGCACAACAACTACCAGCAGCAATGTACTCTGCTTCTGCTGTTGATGTAGAAATGGAGTTTTGTTTCTTACTGAACCAAGAAACGAGATTTCCGCCAATGAGTTGACAAGTACCAGACGTACTTTTCTGGTCAACTTTGCATCCGGCAAAGTCAGAGTCTGAGTATCCCACTAACTCAAATGAATTGCTCTTAGCATACCACAATCCCATGTTTTGAGTTCCCTTGAGGTATCTAAGAATCCTTTTAGCTGCTATCAGATGACTTTCCTTTGGTTTTGACTGGAATCTGGCACAAACACCTACTGCATATGAGATGTCCGGACGGCTTGCAGTAAGGTAAAGTAGAGATCCGACAATTCCTCTGTAGAGAGTTTGATCTACATTTTTTTCATCTAAATCCATATCAAGCTTGGTGGATGTACTCATGGGGACAGAAACGGATGACTTCTGATCAACTTTGAACTTCTTGATAAGATCCCTTGTATACTTAGCATGATTGATGAGAGTGCCTTCACTTCTCTGTTTGATATGAAGGCCAAGGAAGTAGTTGAGTTCCCCCATCATGCTCATCTCAAATTTTCCTTGCATGAGGGTTGAGAACTTAGTACAGAGATCTTCCTTTGTTGATCCAAATATGATGTCGTCCACATAGATTTGGACCAATAAGAGATCTTCACCATCTTGTAGTTTGAACAAGGTCTTGTCAATGACTCCTTTGGTAAATCCATTGTCTATAAGAAATTGAGACAATGTATCGTACCAAGCTCTTGGTGCTTGTTTGAGTCCATACATCGCCTTTTTGAGTCTATACACTTGATCTCCCTTAGTGTGTAACTCAAATCCTGGAGGTTGTTCCACATAAACTTCTTCCTCGAGGTTTCCGTTGAGAAATGCGCTTTTGACGTCCATTTGGTAGACCTTGAAGTCCTTGTGAGCAGCATAGGCTAGAAACAGCCTTATAGCTTCAAGTCTAGCAACTGGAGCGAAGGTTTCATCAAAATCTATACCTTCTTCTTGACAATATCCTTTTGCAACTAACCGGGCTTTGTTTCTGACAACAACGCCGTTTTCATCCATCTTGTTCCGGAAGACCCACTTTGTCCCAATGACATGTTGATGAGTAGGTCTGGAAACAAGTTTCCAGACGTCATTTCTGGAGAATTGATTGAGTTCTTCTTGCATTGTATTGATCCAGTCAGAATCAGCTAGAGCTTCTTCAATATTCTTTGGTTCTACTTGTGAGTACTTTGTTCGTTCGTATCGAAGATCTAAGACAACCCGTGAGGAACACGCTTGTGGTCTAACTTATAGAGGTTACTAGACAACTCCTCCTACTAGGGAATTGGTTGCTTCTAACACAACTAACCCTAACTGACCAACTAGAAGTTCAGCTTCTGGTTGAAGAACAGAGGTTGTTGGTGTTTCCGGATAGGTTGGCACTGCGTCGCCATTTCCGGAATTGTCGCCGTTTGAGATATCCGGAATATTGGAAGGCTGGCCAAGATTTCCGGAGAGCTCAGCACTGTCCAAATCCAGATTCCTCTGTGAAGTCTTCAGAGGCAGACTTCTGAATGGAATGAACTCCGTAGGCTTCATTCTATCTCCTTCATTGACTCCTTCATCCTTGTCTGATAGATCCAGAACCTCATGATCATGCTTTGATGGCTTGTCAACCACATGTTTTTCATCAAAAATGACATGTATTGACTCTTCAGTGATCATGGTTCTTTTGTTGAAGACTCTGAATGCCTTGCTTACCATAGAATATCCTAGGAAGATGGCCTCATCTGATTTCTCATCAAAGGTGTTCAGATGATTCTTCCTGTTGTTTAACACAAAGCACTTGCTCCCAAAAATATGGAAATATGATATATTAGGCTTTCTCCCGTTCCATAGTTCATAGGGAGTTTTGTTGTGCCTTTTATAAATCATACTCCTATTTTGAGTATAGAAAGCTGTGTTAACAGCTTCAGCCCAGAACCTCTTTGGTAAGGAAGCTTCTGCTAGCATGGTTCTCACTGCTTCCTTCAGGGTTCTGTTCCTTCTTTCAACTACACCATTCTGTTGAGGTGTCCTTGCTGTAGATGTCTGATGAAGAATTCCGTTTTCTTCACAGTAGTGAATGATGATTTCATTCAGGAATTCTGTGCCTTTGTCAGATCTGATCTTCTGAATGGTCTGACTTGCTTGGTTTTGAATCAGCTTCATGCAGTTGGTGAGTTTCCCTTGAGTTTCCTTCTTGCCGTTGAGGAAGATTGTCCACGTGTATCTTGAGTAATCATCAACTACTACCAGGACATATTTCTTTCCACTTAGACTTATTGGTGTAACAGGGCCAAATAAGTCCATGTGAATAAGACTTAATATCCTTGTAGTTGAGGGTGCCGATTTTGCCTTGAAGGTGGACTTGACTTGCTTTCCTTTTTGGCAAGCATCACAAATGCTTTCCTTCCTGAATACAGCTTTGGGAAGACCTTCTACTAACCCTTCTTTGGACAGTTTGTTGAGGGTTTGAAGTTGAGATGACTCAACCTCTTATGCCAAAGCCATAGAAGGTTAGTGTCACCTTTGCTGATTAGACATGCTTCCTTGACATTGTCCCACATCACTTCATAGATGTTTCTGATTCTCTTCCCAGTGAGAATGACTTCATTTGTGGAGATGTTCTTGAGAGATGCCATGTCCTTGCAGAATTCCAAGGAGTAACTTTTATCACAAAACTGACTTATGCTAAGAAGGTTATAATTGAGACCTTCAACATAAGATATAGCTTGGATGGTTAGTCCCTTGTACACCAGATTTCCTAGCCCTTTGGTTAGGCCAAAATCATTGCTTCCTCCAAAAGTAACTCTTGGACCATCATAGGGAATTAGATTGCTCAAAAGGCTCGCATCACCCATCATGTGTCTTGAACAGCCACTATCTAAGTACCAGACACCTGGGTACTTAGCGGCTTCCTGCATTAGGAGGAGGAAGATTTTGGTACCCAATTAAGTTTGGGTCCAGAGTAGTTAATGGTGTGTGTCCCTACATCAAGTTTGAAGTTGCAGGGAATTTTCCTTGCAGCTCTAAACTTATTGGGATTGTAATCATAGTTGTAGGCATAAAACTTCCTACGTGCAGGAGGTGCAATTTCCTGTTTCCTCCTAGCAAACCTAGGTTGATGAGACCTATGATTTTGTCTAGGTTGTGCATAGTGTGGCCTGTGTCGGTTATAAGCATACTTAGGTGGCACAAATAATTTCTGGGATGGAGGATGACTATATCTTGGCATAGTTCTCCACTCAGAATTTATTGGAAAACTCCTATCTACCCCATAATGAGTATAGCCTCGTGTATAATGGGGGTTAGAAGGTTTTCTTCTGAAATTATTTCCTCTTTGAGGTTTGTCCAGCTTCCTATAGTTCTTAGGAGGGACTACCTTTTTGGGAACTTCTGTTGGTTTCTCCTTTTCCTTTCCTTTCTGCTTATTTGATTTGGCAGTAGGTTTAGGAGGGATGAAAGTTGTTCTCCCTTTTCTTTTGGGACTGGAGGGGTCCAACCCAAGTCCTTCACGACCCTTATGTTTGGTCGTTTCAAGAAGCTTATCCACTGCTCCTTTGGACTTAAGTATCCCTAGCTCTTTGTTAAGGGATTTTACCTTTTCAGAGAGAGATTCATTTTCAGTTTTGAGTTGAGTGATCTCATTCAGTTGACTTTTCCGACCTTCAGTCAACTTGAGATTCTCTTCACTCAATAGTTTGTTCTCCTCTGTTAAGGAGGAATGTTTGAGATTTATTTCCTCAAAATCTACCATCATCTTTTTGAACTGGTCAAAAAGATTTTCAGAAGTTGGTATGCTTTCATAAGAAGATGAGCAGGAGGTTTGTGAAGTTACCTCTTGATCAGCATCATCTTTAGCCATTAAGTAGAGAGAGTCATCTTCTGACATAGTCCACCTATCCTCATGGTTGGACTTTTCAACTCTTCATTCCATGCAGACGAGGGCTTCTTCATCCGAGCTTGAGCTGGATGACTCATCACTTTCAGCAGCAACCATTGCCTTCTTTTTCTTCTCGTTCCTTTCTCTTTCTCCGTACTTTTCCACCTTTGGGTACGGGCATGCTGACTTCCAGTGGCCAGGCTTCCTGCAGTTATAACACAAATAAGATTCAGGAGGGGAGTCACTTACTTGTGGCTTTCCCTTGGTTGGCCTTCTGACTGAGTCAACCTTCTTGAAGAACTTCTTGAACTTCCGGAATTGCTTGACCATCATGGCAAATTCCTCATCGTAGTTCTCCATTTTTGAGCTTGACGGGTGGCTGGAGGGAGGTGTGTCACAGCTTCTTGGGCATGTCCCTTCACTTGATGGGACTCTTGGAGTTGTCATCAGTGCCGTGGGGAAGGGAGTGACTTGTTCTTCCTTCTTCTTCTTCAGCTCGTGCTCATAGGTTCTGAGCTCATCAAGGAGACCTTGGACAGTGTAATTTTCCAGGTTTCTTCCTTCTTCCATGGCTGTGGCTTTGGTGTACCACTCAGTTGGAAGAGATCTCAGCAACCTTACATTCTTTTCTTTGGGAGAAAGAACGTGGTTAAGTGAGGCAAGATCATTCAAGATTTTGTGGAATCTTTCATCCAACATATCAAATGATTCTCCGGGAAGCATTTTGAAGCCTTTGAACTTCTCAAGCAG